TCCATAATTTCCATTCGTACCACCTGATTCGATAGGTTCTTGGCCCGAACGCATATGTTGCTAATGTTCACAAATTTAATTACAACGTGCGAGAGAGAACACATTTGAAGGCGATAATGAAGGATTTAGAAAGCAACGGAGTTTTGGTACTACGAAAATGGCGGCGTTCGAGTCAAAGCGATCAATCACATTCTCGGAGATTTTGATCATCGAACACCTGCGTTTCAGATGCGAACCTGTAATTAATTTAACATTTTGTGTACTTTACACCGTAATTAAGATGTTTGTAGGTTTACAACGGCAAAAAGCCGTTATTTCAAAGGCTTTCTATGTTGCTTCTAGACACGAACAAAGAAAAATCAAAACATTCATTCCAACAAAAACAACAGTAGATTAATACAATAAACCTAGAGTGATCTACCTACAAGCTTATCAAGATCTTCAATTTGTAAAGTACATGTTTCAGATTTCTATCATTTATTAGATTGTTTGGTTTAATTTAATTCTACATTGAAGTTGGCAGGTCTTCCTGCCATTTATTGGATTGTTCAATTTAGTATTTGAAAATTTAGAGAAATACACATAATACCTAATATATTTTTTAATTACTTTGTTATTTAAAATAAAGACATTATTATGTAGTAGACTACTATTAAGTACTTCACTTTTTGTGAATTCTACCGTAGAGCTTTGATAGACTTTTAAGTACATTATAGACGCGTGGAATTAATTCACTCGAGACTCAAAAAACCGTTGCCGCATCCAAAAAGAAAACTTTCAACTGACTGTTAAAATGCCACAAAAATTATTTCACTGCGATTTAAATTGGGATTTAAAGTGAAACTAAATCGTGTCAATTTTGAAATTTATAAAAAGAAAACAAAACCATATTTTTAAATAAAAGGCTCGAGTAGTAGTCAATTAGAAAAGTTTAGACAGTTTACAAAAATAAGAATTTTTCACATTTTCACATTTTTTGATTTCAGCTTATTTTTCTGTATGTTCAAAGAATTTTGGATCATTAAAATAACAGAAATAACAACGAAAGAAAGTCCTTAAAAAAACACTCTGTAGATTGTTCGTTCTTAATTAATATTTTTTTTCACTACTAGCTGTGGAAGATACTATTATTTAGTTTGTCAAGAGGTTGTGAAGTTGTTTTTCTCTCCTAGTAGTCAATAATCATTTTCATTATAAACCAAGGGCTATAATGTATTAGAGGTGGGTAAATGCCGGTGTTGGAGGGTATTACATAGATACAAATATTTCTAGAAAATTATTATTGAAAACTATTACCACCACAACTACAAACGGAAGTATTTCTGGATAAAATTAATGCAAAATCAAATAAAAAGTCTTACATTTCGTCATTAAAAACACCAGAATAACCCCAACTCTAATGCTTCTGTCTATGTCAAAACTGTTAAAGCAACAAATGGGTTTATTTCTTGTTAAAATACTATCGGTAGTGAGGCAAATTTAAACACTTTTTTACTTTTCTTTGAAGTTTCTTTCTTATTTTAACAAATATTCCATATTATGAAGTTGGAAAATTTCTTTTAATAGTTGCAGAAGTACAAAAATGACATAACCTCATTTATGATAAGAAAATAATACTTCCACTCTTCCAACTTAAGTTAATAATCAGGTAAGTAATTAATTACTGTAGGTAATAGTAAATTAACAAAAATAGTACTTAAGAATTACAACATGTTACGTGAGGCACATGTCCATTAAGTAGGGTTATATTTTTCACGATTGCATTTCTGGGTAAAAAATGTGCTAGTAGTAAAAAAAATCTTATATAAAACACGGTAGAGAAGATTTTAATAGCCTCGATTTATTATATCCTGAGATGCTGCTGAAATAAACAGCTTGGCTATAAAAAATCTCTTCTCTATCTTGTGTTATAATATACTATTCTCTCCTTTCTCTAGTTTAACAAATATGACTACCAAACCTATAAAAATTATCACATCTTCATTATACATAAATAGTTTTTAATTGATTAATTAATTAACTGAACAGTAAAAATTAAGAAAGTTAATAAACATAATTGAAAATCAAAAAACACTGATATAAAAATAAAAAAATTATATAACAAAAAGTAAAAAACCGAGGTTTGTCAAAAAAAACTAATAATAAGCTTTCTGACGAACACACTTATTATAATCCACTTTATTGCATTTATTACAACTGAGTTTTTGCAAAGACCTTGCAACATCATTACAATAAAGATCGAGACTGAAGCCACTTCCTGTTTAGGCGGAACGTTCGTTCTCCTTATTACAAGTCGACCAACATACATAAAATAAAATAATATTATTGACTCATGATTAATTGAAATAGACTCTCGGTATTTTAAAATGAAAAAAATCGTAGGTGATTTTCGGAATTAAAATTCGACATAATTTAATTTCTCCAATTTTTGTCGTTTTACCGTAAACGGTTATAATACAACTTTCCCTGAAAACCTCTCAAATCCTTTAGGTCGTTTACACCGTGGAATGTCGAAAACACCTAATAGCCGGTCGATAAATTATCGAATTAAATTATGACAAGTCTCCATTAATGATAGCATCAATTAATTTTTTCCGCGATGAAATTATTCATGATTAAACGGATTTTAACAACCGCCAGATTTTGTAATTTTTCGAATTTTTTTTCAAACACAATGAGGTTATCACGCAGTGATTTACGATTTATTGACGGAATTTTCATCATCGTTGGCTTAAATTACTGTCACGCGACATGTTTATGGTGTTGAGGAGTGCACAAAGGTGACGAAACTTGGGTACACGGAAGTTTCGAGATCATCGACGAACGCCAGTGATGATCGAACAAAAGGGGACAAACATGAAGCGATAACATCTGGCCTTGAAATGTCCTTCCGAGGCTAATTAAAAACACAACTGGTCGCATTATATAAGGGTCTATCTACCATCTAACATGCTATTAAAGTTATTACAACGGTCATCTTTGAGTGACGTGCATTAAAAATACATGTCACGATTTTTGATTCGGTTTTTAATCTTTTAGTTTACTGGTGCTGAATATGGCATTCCTTTCTCACAAATTACTAAGACGAAATTAGACGGTTAATGAGTGTGAGATGAGAAACGGGGCTTTTGTCGGGGAGTATTGTCAGCTGCAAAATTTTAATGCTGCGAATGGTAGAAAAAACACCAGATATTCGGGAAAAACCTAAATTCAGAAAATGTTCAAAAAACATAATCTTTAGTTCAAAGAATCGTTACTTTTCAAGTAAAAAATTAAAATGGGACTGAACAATTTCAGTAATTTCAATTTTAGTTTAAAACCAAACAAAAACAAAATACTTCGTAACTAACTGTTTAAACACAATTATCTCTTTCTCAAACTAATTAGAAAAATGTAGAAAAAAAATAAACCAAATAAAAACAGTAAGTAACAGTTTACAGTTTTTTTCAAGATTCACATCTAATTTCAAAAAATTGTTTTTCCTTTCGTAGACTGTTTTAATTTTTTTTTATTTTTTGATCCACAAAAGTTCCTAAATTAATTCATAAATAACATTTTCAAATTTTATTTTTTTTCCTTTTTATTTTACAGAATAACAAACAAATTTGGTATATACGATATTTTAAAATGAAAAATTCAGATTAAAACATTAGGTATAGGAAATTTACAGTACTTAACGTAACTTGCAGATAAAAGTTTTAAAAATACCTTACCACCAATGTCCTTAATATTTGTATCTTTTTATTTATTTTTTTTGACTTATTACAACCATATAGTCAAGAGCTATTTATAACAATTGACTTAGCCACAAACCACACAAAATACAACTTTGTAATTATTTTTAATATCTTATTTCAGTAGTTTTACTTCATCAGAATGGAATTCAAGGCAAAGTAGAGATTTTTACAAAGATAAAATCAAAACATTTAGTTTCACTAAAAAATAGTAACAATTAAAATATTTTTTTATATTTTCTT